CGAAGAGGAGTGCCGAACGAGAATATGATCCAACGTCCAGTCTCGCCATAACATTGCTATTTCTCGATCTACAAAACATCAGACCCATACATTTCCTCTGCTCTCACCGTAGACAACCAAACCGATCTCCTTCCTAAACAAATGCATACATACTTTTCGTGGTCTCACGTGTTTAAGGTTGCCAACAGCTGGCTACGTCGACATAGCAAACCTTTCCGATTTTTTTCATACGAAACTAACTTCTGCTATCGCATTTCTGTTGGGCGTAAACGTAATGTATCCATACGTAAGTTCCCGCTGTCAGTCGAAACCTTAGGCGGGTCACTAACTTTTTTCGAATCGCACAAAAAATGTAGGTGCCACCGTCGGCCGTGCTCGGCGTGGAGAAATATCATATGTTTTTCCTATTTTGATAAGAAAACAAGGCCATGCTCGAATTTTTAACTCGGAGAAAAAATTTCACAATCTCTATTCAAGGATTACACAGTGATAATTTCTACCTTGAAGCCTCTCTTCAACCCGCTACTGCATATATATATATATGTGTTGTATAGATCTTCGGCCAATGTACCGTACCTTACATGTAAATAAAAGCCATCAGGCACGCTTTGTCGCAAAGTTCGCCAAAACAGTACCATTATGCTAAGTGCAAAAAGAAGAGATTTCAGAGTTACAATTGGACCACATATAAACTTCGGCACTATTGAATATTAATTATAGTTATATCTTCTTTTCAAAACAACTCGTCATCTATTACAAATGAATAAATTACCGTAAGGACATGCCTGCCAGGAAAATAGAAGAATTTGATTTAAATTCGAAAGCAAATAGTGGTACAGCTATCGTTGTATATAACACGCAAGTATTGATGGCACAGAATCAGATGTTTGCTACATGAAGCGGCTAGAAGAGAATAGAGCCCTTTGTACCGGAAGATTCAGGTTATTTAGCAAGCCACGAACCCTCCTCAAAGTTCCAGATTTGCAATATATATATATATATATATATATATATATATATGTGTGTGTGTGTGTGTGTGTGTAAAATGCGAAAAACTAGACCATTGGCCAGATACTGATGGTTACCGACTAGGGCTTTTACGCTTTAACCAGACCCGAATTAGCATATGTTCGTCATGCATTTTCTTAGTGGTTACACGCTGCCATCTCTATCAACGTCCACGCGTCTCTGATGTCGTACGACGTTTTGGTATGTACAACTAGATATGCAGACCGTTACTACGTTATGATACGGTTCCACAGCTGAGCGCCTTGTCCTGAAAAACCGCGGCAGCCTCGTGGTTCCGTTTATCGCCACGGTGCATATTCGAAACATTCCCTGTTTTGGACTCTAGCGACTTCGCGTAAAATACGGTTGCCTGCGCGCTGCATAGTACATACAGATAAAAGTAAGTGTAGTTTCCTGAAGTCCCGCCATAATAGCTTAGCGGGTAACGTGTTTGCCTGATAATCTTTGGGACACGTTATGGTTCAGGTTCGAACCCGGGCTTTTTGACTCGAGTCAGCCGTTTGATGGAATCAATAGCCGCGATAACGGACGACTATTGAAACGTAGATGCTTCGTAAATGCACAATTTTTACTAATACGTCTTCAGTGCTAATTCATCTGAGCAATTTCTACTTCCTGTAGCAAGTACGATGACCTTAACGTGAGTGTATTTTGCTACAGGTATCATTGGGAAGGACGATCGGGACACTACATTGTTTCTTTGTTAAGCGATCCTTCTATAAATATAGCAAAATAATACGATTTGATCTACTTGGATTCTAAGGCATACAGCTTTAAATATGTTTAAAATCACTTAAATCGAACAATTTCAGAATATAGAAATTATTACCAAACTGGTTATTGCATTTTATCCTTTGGGGAGCATAGCCGACGTTTCTCTATACACGAGGCTCTAGGTACAAATTTGCCGAATAATAGAAACAATCAAATGCGCTTCCTCAGGCCCAAACATTGAAAAGGAAATGAGCAAAGATCTGTGTAGGTCGCATGCTTTTTCAACCGGACATTGCGATACTTATTACATTACTAGCCTTTCTATTTTCATGAGAAGAAGATATGGGACGGTGACACCACCTAACAATAGCGTATACCACAATGTAAGTAGCATAAAGCGCGTCTTCAAAAAACAGTCTCCGACAGACCTTCGTAAAGATACGTATCACATGAAAATTCTCGTTGTGATTAGGACCTGACGCAGTTCCTAAGAGCACTGAACTTTTTTTTTTACAGCATCAGAACCCGTACGATAAAATAAACATTTCTCTGGGCGAGAGAAGATGTTTGGTTCATGTACGTATTTGCCAGATATGCCCATATCGCAACTATTGAACCCCATTCCACGTGAGCATATAGGTTTATGTCATCGTACACGTACGGATATGCGTAGTATGTATATAGTAAGTCGCCCGATTTCGTGCTATTCGGCATTAATGGTAAGAGATATTTTCTCTGTGAGTGTGGCGATCGACCGGATGTTTATATAAACGTGCTTTTTAATTTCAAAATGGCCGACTTTGCCTATCGAACACTTGGCAAAGGTAAACAATCAGCGTTTATTGCCGTTGTATGGCTTTTTGTGCAAGTGTGTCGCTTTCTCAGTAACTTATACATCTACCAATTCTAATTCAGTGATATTTGCCTCGTGTTCCAGCTGAGAGCAAACGGTCCAGGATATTATAGAGTAGTATTTCAAATGAGCCGACAAATACGTAACCTGTACAAATTACCTAAACAACTATTCGGGAAGGCCAATTAAACCATTTAGGGCTGTATTACTGCAAAAAGCAATCAATTTTAACGATCAGGCCCAAGGTCGTTTGAGCTACGGAACGACAAGGAGATACAGCTTCATTACCTTAAATATGTGCAATTCAGTAATGGATGCCATTGGTTTACAAAAAGCAGTCGCAAATCGAAATAGAGCCATGCTTAGGTGATCTGTTCCTATCTATGTGAATCATAAATCCGTACGGTATGTCTCCACTGACAAATAGCTTTTATTTTGCTATCTGACAGTCTCTCGAATATCTTCAGCAAATATCTTCCAGCCAAAGGAAGACATTATTTAGCAAGCAGATATTTGCTAAGGGCCGAAGGTAGAAAGCGCTGGCACAGGTGTCGGTTAATCGGTCCTGAGCCGAAACGATGACGAAGACAGTGCTAAGGCAAATCGCTTCATGTAAATGGAATCATTCATTTACAGCTGTAAATTTATGGGGATAAAAAAAAAAATAGACTGATACAACCGCAGACTCTCAACAAATATTTTACATCGAAAAGCCGTTAAGCTCTCTTTGAAACGGGTCGTTAGTGAGCTGCGCGATCACAGATGGTTCGTTACCATATCTGGGTCGCATATGACTTGCGAGCGGTAACAGCCAATTACCTGATACAGACAGTCAGCAGCTATTCGTTGATCGATACCTGGCTAGGATTTAGCACGTCCTTCACTCAGTTTCACGTTTAAGTGCTCTCTGTTAAGCTGTTTCCAGCGAAATAGGGTTGTACGTAGTGACGATTGGGTACAGACAATTTAGAAACGAAGTGATCCGTTCGTGCCATGAAGATATGCCCATATCTACGTAGATATGTGTGCTGGAATAGACCGCCTTTCCCAAACAGTTTCCATAATTCAAGTAGAAATGACTCTACCGTTATCGTCGTCGCGTTCTTCGCTATCTATCTCCCTCTTTTGCAGGTGCTCCGATTCTCTCCGAGATGCTCAAAGGTCAAAACTGACCGGCAACTATATACAATCAACGCTGCAAAAATTCACAATTAAACTTTGATTGAAACAACTTTGATGAAACACTTTTCAACGCATCCTAGCTTTGATATTTATATATACATCTTTATATCAGGTCCAAGCGATATTAACTTGGAGAATGCCTGCACGTATCAGGCGGCGTTTGAAGGCTTTTATAACGTAGATTGTTCTTCAAAAAAAATATTGAAGACAGGAGCCATTTTACAAAATCGTTATAAAAATAATTACTATAATGAAGATCTCGATATTAGCTTCGACCAAATCTATTTATTGAAACGTCGAGTCTCAAACAATGTTTCTTATTATAAGAAAGAACAGAACAAGCGTTGCCGTCATCACTGGCGTAATTCAATGCCAAAATTACGTTTAGCTTAGAGCGATGTCAGTAACGCCATACTTCACAGGAAAGCAGGATAAATTATCGCGGTTATTATTGATATAGGTAATGAATATACGAAAGAAAGTTGCCACGGCTGACAAATTTTACCTTGAACATCTATAATACCCGCCAGGGCAGCATAATAAGAGTGTCTATAATGGAAAAAAAGATATTTAAACACTTTAGCTTATTTGAAGATATCAAAAAGATATTGCCTCTACATCTGCTGAACTCATCCAAATGCAGTGTAACAACCTGGATATGATTCATTTACCCTGCGAAGACCTTTCCGACGTTCGATAGCCCACGCGATAAACAAAAGCATAAATGTTTGAACTCCATTGTTTCATAGTATTGTTTAGCCATTCATACAGTTTTAACGGCTTATTATTCACACACACACACATAGTCCTACCTTGCTTCGATTTATATAGCACCAAAAGTGCGTACCAATTGATTTCCGCGCAAAAGTACCTAGGTCCATTTTGGATAAAATTCAGAAAGCCCGTTCTCTATGAAAAATAAGTAACAGAATTCTAGCGGCAGCAATATGTGCCGAAATGGACCTAAGCGTTTTGTCCGGGAAGCTTAAACTTGTTTGCGTTTGTTGTCGTTTTCGGCTACCTTCTGAGCGCTTCTGCATGATCTTTTCAAGATAATTTGCCAGACTGTTGGAGGCACTATATAGAATTCGATATCGTAAACGAACTTCGACTGCCACTCTCGGGAACAGTTCATATTTGTCTCCATTATATTACACGATACGTACGCTTCACCGCTCTCTAACTCAGCCTTACGTTTTTCTCCTATTCGACTTAATTGCAGAGTGACACGTGATCGATCGCTAGAAGACGAATAGTTTCAGTACAAGACACAACTCAATAACGCCGTGCTCGTACGCGAGCACAGCGGTAGCGTTGTGTCGAGACGAGGCTCGTCTCCAACGCAGCAGAGCTTAGTGATGTGATGTTTGGTGATCCGTCCAGTGAAATGGGCGGCGGCGGCGTCGATGGGGCGGATCTGGGTTCGCCGGCCAAGGGGACAAGCGGCAATGTAACTGCCCTCGGAGGTCTCGTAGCCCCCAAATTGGGTGACGACATCGATGCTTACCTTTTTACCGTTCTCGGACCGAGGGCTCTGCCACTCGCCTGGCTAATTCCTCTCACAGCTATCTACACGTTCATCTTTATCACTGGTGAGTTCGTGACAAAAAAAACATAATTAATGTCAAGCTCAGCCATAGTTTAAACAGAAAACATGGGTTCGTTAGTATGTACGTACATATTATCGATATATAGTAAAGTACAAACTCGGTACAAATCAATGTGTTCTGTACATCTAATGACAATTGGGTTGCAACAATTTTCCGCTACGTAACGTTCGCCGACATTAACGAGATTTGAAAGGATTCGTACTGGTGGTCAAGACGGAAGATTTGTAGTCGTAAAAGATATCAGAGATAGAGGAGTGCGTGCTCTGGACATTGCTGAACACTTATCGATGAACGACATTATTGCCCACAAGCAAAACACGGATGTTTCCGTTCAAACAAACTCTCACGGGCATTTGACCTATATTAAATGCTGGCTAAATATGGATCATCTCAAAAGGCGAAGGGTGTTTGTTTTCACGGGTAGCGCCATATAGTCCAGGTCATGTGATGGAATGCAAGCTCCAGCAATTTATCCTCGCGTTTACTTAAATACACTTGGACAAGGGGCAAGTTACGTTGCGCTAACCTTTTCGGATGTAAACTTTTTACGTCTCATTCGTGTGCCATGAACTTGCTAGTTTCTCACGACGCAAGGGTCGTTTCTTCTCTGTTTTTGCTAATTTCCATAGCAGTTGATATTATATCGATATATAAACTGGCCTATTTGCCTCGAATGATTAACTAAATTGTCGAAAATCAAGAGACGCAATATTAGCCTTCTAGAGGTTTTTTCTTTCTTTCATTCTTTTTTTTTTTTTTTGTTTTTTTTTTTGTTCGTTCCTCTACAGCGCAGTAAACAGCTAAATAAGGCTAGAACTCGACAGCCAGTTAGTTGGTGTGCTTGTACAATGTCTCTGCATATACATCGCGATGAATAAAGTTACTATACCGTCTAAGCGAATGTCGAAATTTTGGTCGATGTAAAAATGTCTTGGTAATGCTGGTAACGCTTTGAGAGAGAGCTCTTTAAACATCGACGCCTATCCTATATATATATATTATATTTTTTTTCTTACAAGATTGCAACAACATTGTAATGATTGCCCCTTCTAAAAATCATGCTTCTTTTTAACTTTTATCCGTCTTCTAAACCTGCGTTTCAGAAAACTTTTACCAGCAACTGCATCTTGTGATTTCCTCACTGGTCGTTTGAATGCTTTTGGGAAAAGATTCACATAGGTACTTTTATTTAATTATATCTATATACATTCCGATTCACAGAATCCCTTTATATATAAGCTTGTGTAACGTACAAGAGTGGAGGTAACGTAAAGAGCGATTACATAATATATAAACTTTAGTTTTCGCAGTGATATTTGGGCAAGCTTCTATACTGTTCAGGAACAAACAGATTCATCTGAACGATGAGACAGAATATGCTCAACTAGACAAAATCAATATATTGTTCTATTAAAAATCTGCCTATCTATTAAAAATTCTAAATAAAAACTCTATATTTTTTATTAATTAATTATGTGACAAATTGCTACTTTCAAAAAGCTCGAAAATGACTCGTACATCGAGCAAATGATCGACAATGGCATTCACTTAACACACGGCCCTATTGTCATACATACATACATACATACATACATACATACGTACGTACGTATATGATATATAACAAATATATGGGTCAATTGATTGTCCCTCCCATAGTATGGTACAATCTAGCTTTCATTGCCAAAAGTCAAAATACGCGACGTTAACATTATAGCTGTACGACCAAAGTTTACTCAGTCCGAACATGGTCTTTTGTTATTTATATCCTGATCGCCTTTAATATGCTCCATTTTAGTCAACAATTGTTGAAGGCATTCTGTTCCACTGGGTCTACTTGAGCAGCCGGTAGTTTTATGGCCGAGACCTTTTTTCAGCTTAACAAGCTTCAGTGGTTTCAAACTACAATACATTTTTTTTTTACGTTTACCTTCTACTATATCAGTTTCAGCTCTGTTTGTGTAGTTTATAAATCACTCGAAGAAAATTTCGATTTCTCTAGACTGAAATAAGCTAACGCCTTGTTTTTATTGGTAAGCCTTTATCAAGGCATGTTAACTCGTGCACTGGTAAAGCTACGAGAATCGTTGGAGAATGCTGAAATTATCATCATTAGTGAAATTATGTCTTAATTTAGGAGCATTGGATTGGGTGAGCGTCAATTTTTCACACTTCTAAGTTGGTTGTTAGCTTTCTGAAGTAGATGACTGAGATAGACACACATGTGCTCCAGATGCGTTTTTTCAAAAGGCTGAAACACATATTAACAAAAATTTCGTCTACCTTACGAATCCATTTCACGATTGAGAGCAGCATCCAATTTCGGCCCTTTCGAATCAATTGAACGGTGACCAAAAGCGTACGAGCTCGACAAATCGCAAAAACTTCGTTGTTTTTTAATCAGCTGTTTTCCCCGTAATCGAAATTACGTTTATGTATCACTTGTATTCCACACTCTTTGGTCACACAATTTATATTTAAAAAGTTGCTCAAGAAGATAGTATACATTGGTTTTTGACGCGTCACATCCCTCTATTGTTGTTGGTATTGCATTTTCTCATTCAGTGTTCATTTCCAACACGGTCAGAGCTGGGTCAAAACGCAAAAAAAAAAAGCAAAAACGCGGCCTTTGAGTAAAAAATTATTACATAAAGTATGAGCGGGCTTCATTTAAGGTGCTTTCAAGACGTTGCGGTTACGTGTAGACAGCTCGTTGACTGCTGCGTCGCCATAATGGTGACGATTGGCCTAAAGAACGTGTGTCTAGGACACACTTCAGTCCTTACATACGATTTCGTACTGATAGGAATTCATAGTGCGGCAGTTCGTCGTAGTCGAGGTCGATCGTTGAATCGGTGGCATGCGGAACTATACTCTGGCATGGTTTCGTTATAGTTTGTAGTAGGTAAATGCCACTCACGGCTGCTTGGCGAGAATGGTCCATTGTGCGACATGCGAAAAATTAGGCTATATCTACACCTTTCAGGGAACGGTAATTTCTCGCGTTGGGCATTTTTGCGCTCAATGAAATGCAAGCATACGCATAAACCAGTCGTATAAATTGCTCAGTAACGTCAGAAAGCTCTGGCCAATTTCTGACCGGTAGCTCTATGACTATTTATAGCTTGTACTACGACACCATGATGGAAGCCTAGGGAACACATGCTAATAAATGACGTCTGTGCAGATGATTTACTAGCAATCGCCCGCTGACCCGCTTGCCTCCTATGTTAGTTTGGGACTTTGGGACAATGAAACGATTTCATTTTAGCTCAACTTAGGGGGGTATTATGAAGGTCTTGGGCTCACTTAGTCACTGTATAATTGCATGACTCATAAAATACTACATGTACAATAGAAACGGTCTTGTTCGTTGTTAGGTTAAATTCGAAAATTTCGATGTCCCACTGTTCTCCTTTATGGGCCGCCCGGGTCGGGTTCTCAGCGGCAAATGAATTAACGTTTTACTCCACGCCAAGTAAGTTCTATCGCTCGAATAATCGTCACTTTGTAGTAGTACTAAATTAGTAGCGTTAGAACGTCTTTCTTTAGTGAATATCACAGTTTCACTTACTGAATTTATGCTAACTTAATGCACACGTGTGTCTGTTGCGAAATTTACTATAATAAAATCTCAGTAAAACCGTATGTGTTCCCATACTATCTAAACCTCGCCGAGTGTCTATCTGATATATATATATATATAGATATTTATAGATACGATTATTTTGGTTTCCATAAGAAAGTGTTTACGTCTTTTTTACATTTATCGCTAGTTGATATATGACTATACATATTCAGGTATACGTACTTGATATATATGAGTTTGTTGTATGAATTTATTTTTGTTTGCCGGCTGAGAGCAGTATTTAGAATTCGTAGATTCGATTGAAGTCCTGTTATACAGGTCGACGACCCAGGAATTCGGGTTAATTCGTGTGTACGAGCTGGTTATTTAATTTCGTTAGTTCATATAGTGTATAGTGAAATGGCGTTATTTCGAAATTGCTCGGAACGTTTGCTGTTTTTGGGAAACTGAGCTATAGACGGGTGTTGCAATGTCTCTCATATCGCCAAGACTCCAGTGGGTGCATTGAGGCTACACGAGCAGTCGAAGACGCCTGAGTTGAAATCAAAAATGAGGTCACTATCATTTGGACCCTCTATTGAGATGCTACATGTACATCACTGGGCATTCGCTAAGCAAACGAGCATCCAGCCGTCCGATTCATGTTCGCTACCCTACCGTTATTTCACCATCATCATCTCTATGAATTTAGCCTTACGTTGTTGTGTTGCTTTTTGAAAATCCCAATCAAAAATTCTTCAAGAGGATAAGGATCGGACGTCTAATGAATTACACCTCAGTGTTGAATCGTTCGGTAAGAAGAAGTACGCTCTTTTCGAAAATGCGGTTCGTACGCTTCGTCTCCGAGCGTCGTCTCTCATGGCTACCGTTACTAACAGAAATAATAACAAGAATGATAGTGATGATTTTTAGATTAGAAATAATCGAGTCGGGATGATTGTGATATTCCAGGTATCGTTGGCAACGTATGCACGTGTATGGTAATTGCGTTGAATACGTACATGCAGACAGCTACGAACTGTTATCTATTCAACTTGGCCATCGCAGATATGCTCACACTACTATGTGGTACGTGGCTTGTTTTCTACTTGTCGCTCAGTTATGATTTGCTTTACCCTTAGAGCTAGTCGAGGGAACAATAGACTACGAACGTAAATACCGCCTATTGCTCCCGTCGACCTTATGCTACAGTAGGCTCCCTTTTCGGCGGCGGACTCTGTGCAAAGCTGGCAACGATTGTACAAGGCTGATACGCGTCCTTACAACTGTTGGCAAAGCTGTCCGCGCTTTACGACGGGTTCGATAAGATCATACGATTTCCTCATAGATTGCTACTTCATCTTTGCGCTTTTTTCTGTAATGGGAAAATTGGCTTTCTATACTGGAAACCGTTCCTTTGGCCAAGTGAGACTCTAGAATTTTTCCAGTTGCTTCAGTTCTAAATGTCAGCTATCTACGCAGCTGCATTTGACCAACAGGAACATAATCAAATGATTGACCTTAGCATATTTGAGAATCGTCGACATGTTTGCCCATCGCGGCCGAAGCCTTTCATACGGTGTAACGTAATACTACATTCCGTACAGGCTAACGTGGTAGCGTCATTGCTTGATTACTAGGCGTGCGAGTTCAGCTTCGAATACTTTTCCCTTCACATAATACTCATCTTCGAGTGAAGATATTTTGGTCATCGATTGAAGACAGTACAACTGGCTATCATATTGATGTCAAGCCCGTAGGCTTTGTTCCGGTATAGAGAATAATAAATACTTTACTCTGACAAACATCTGATCTCTGTGTGAAACGCATACCACGGTCACTCTGTACGTTTCCGACAAGCTTCTATTTGGTACACCATTTTTAGAGTTATCCACCCAACCAATTTACCACCCCGTTTACTCACCCCACCGTGCACTGTCTGGGCTTCTGGGAGCGCGACGTATAAATGGTGAATGTTGAAATTTCACTGTAATTTACTAAAGAAGAATTTCATCTGGTAAAGGTCTGCGAAAAAAAAAGTGAAAAGTTAGCCAATATCTATAGTCTCGAAATGTTTATGGAAAATTGAACATTCAACGATTATCGTAGACGTAACAATCCGATGTAGCTCGTAGTTACGTGGATAATGATGACTGGTTAGCTTCTGGCGGTCACCCCTCTCATAATAATTATTATATAATAATATTATATAATAATTATTATATAAAAGTAATCCCCAATCGTCTCAAGTGTCTCTCGAGATATTTCATCTGTTTTGGTTTTAATAAGCGCCAGGAGGCAGTTCATTAAAATAGCATTGTAATAAAGTGATAAGAGCAAAACATGTACTGATATTTTACTGTATTGCTATATGGTACCCTTTATAGACGTTTGTAGATGTTTAGAACTTTCCCTTTGAAGAGTCGTTGACTTTACGAGTTCGAGCGCGTTCAGATCAAATGTACGGCTGAAGGCTCCTTTTGACACTGGAATAAGACTTCTCAGGGTTATCCGAAAACGGTCAAAAATAAATCCTGACAAATGCTTTGGCTGAACCGAACATAATACGGTCTTTTTTGAAAGGCAAATTTCTGCGCGGAAGCGGACGAAGCTTATCAGTAATAGGGGTCTCTTTATTGTACGTTCCTCTAAAAAAAGCAGGTTCTATTCGTCAACTGTATAGGTGAACGGGATCTCCGGTTAGAATAGGGAAAAAAAAAGGAAAAGTCTTTTTTAACTTACAAATAGTGGCTGAAAAAATTAGAGATAGAGGGCTCAAATTCCGTTGTGCGGTGCCGTAGCGTGGCAACATGTATTAAACACGGAGGGCTCTTAATTTATATTTAATTAACAATATTACGACTCTAATAGTAGAAACTTATGCACGCAGACACTCCGCTCTTTAAAACTAATCTATCGATGACGTCCTAGCGCTGGACGTCCTGTAAGGTTTGTAATATAGCATTTAAAGCTAGGTTCGTTAGTGTTGAATAGAAAGAAAACCTACGAGTCATATAGGAAAGCTATGTGGATGTGGTTCGAGGTTTCCCCGTTTTGCTGCACGGCTGATGCTATGACCTGGAACGTTTTGGGTAAATGCAGCACTTCAAAGAAATAATTTTGTGCCGATTATCATTTTTTAAAATCTGTATATCGCATGAGTGTTAGCCTTCCTAATAGCTATCTGGATGAAAGACCTATTGCGAACTGGTAGACGCGTTCTTTGTAAATGATTTTCTCATAATAAGACAAAAATATAGTGGAACCTCTATGGACGTAGTCATCTGATTTAGCAGACGTGCCGTAATCGTATTTATACCTAATTTTAAGTAAAGTACATCTTTTTTACGACCCAGAATGACTTTCTCTAAAATTGTTTACGCTTGCCCTGTCTAATATTATAACTGGAAAAAGATTCTGTCAACAATTAATTTGGTGCAGTTCATCTATTTCTAGTTAAACCCCTCTGTCTCCCCTAGAGATAGCGGGCTAACGACAGATCTTCGTTAAATTTACAATACAATGAGTACGGTCACTGGGGATCACACGTGATGACGGCGGTCGACATTATTAACAGGGGCCATTTTTTTAGCGCGAAATGCCACGACTTCGCCTGCTTAACGGCAGTACAGAACGTACATTCCAAAACAGCCATTAACTGGCAAAAATGATAAAATTTAATTTCGTAAAAAGTAGGAGTAAATCATTACATTGTTAGCTCAAACCGTCAAAGTAGCGTCTGCGGGGTCGTTTATCTCATTAATCGCGCATGTGCGATAAAAGTTACGCGCAGTGTTTCGTCGTCATGGCCGTAAATAATGTACGTTGAACGCAAACAACGCGACGTGAAAGGCTTCCGAACGCTTGTTAAGGTACGTTTGACCCATTTCAATACTAGCCACTTGATGCCATACGAACATTTTGATTATATAATAGATAAACGCTTTGCGAAATGGCCTTAGTTTATATAAAGGTCTTTTCATCTGTGTAACGTGACAAGGGAGAACCATATATGGTGAAAATATTCAAGTTACTCGAATGCTTTCGAAATGAAAACCACAAGCGAGTTTATGCGCTCGTTCCTATTGTCATGATAGCCCAGCCCGACGAGCTTAGTCCCCGGCGTAAATCGAAAACGACGTTCGCCAAATGCCCTTGCAGGGCATACGGCCCCTTGCCTACCTCGATCCATTCCGCATAACTTCACCTAGTTCAGTGTCAGTCACAAAAATCAGTTTATGTATACAATGTTTCAGGTCATGAACTATATTCGGGATCGTTTTACACCCTCTGTTCGTTACATGAGCCCACAGAAAAAGATAGAGATAACTTAGGTCACAAAATCAATCGATCAAACAACGAGGTTTCAAGTAAATTGATTGTGTTCTGTGCAGTATCGTAAGCTGTTCATGCAGTCCGTAACCCCTGCTGGCCTAATTTTGTTTGCGACAGTGCATTAGCCTTTAAACACCGTGATCGATCGTCTAATTTTCCGTTCGCCAAATGTCGCCTCGATCGTGTAAACACGCCCTGGACATTACAGTAGTAAATTTCTTATTCCATTAGCAAGTTTTTATGGTAAACAATCGTTGCTGTAAATTGCAGTTGTATCTAACTACATCGCGCTAGACACTCTGCTTGCCATTGCTTATTTACCTGCATAGTCAATAAACGGAATGGACCGTAGACCTTCAGCCCGTACTATATATAGGGTGTTCGATCTGGTTGTTCATATCTAGACTCTGCCCCTCGACTATTATCGATGATGCTATTGGACGCGTGGGTCCATTATATACCGGAACTAGACAACAGAATGAAGGTAAAAACAGCAACAACAATAAAAATATAACTGTCTTTGCTAATCCTACTTAAACATTAAATGTTTGCTATCAAAGCCAAATCTACGCTTCTATATATATATATATATATATATATATATCATTGATCTTCTAGAAAAAGGGAAGCTTAAACTGGCCGGTTATAGTGCAATATATTGCAAATACTGTTTTTCTCTAGTTATTGTGTGCTTTAGAGTTTATTAGCATGCTTACGGTCGTTTATGGACAGGGGTTCTATAAGGTAAAAATGACATATTATCGATGGCCATTGATTTACATCTCATAGTTTCCCCAGCTAGACACACTCCGAACGCCTTTTCTTACGAGGACGTTTACGCACTGAGACCATTGGGTGTAGATTCAAGTAACGCTAGCAGTGACGTGTGTAACGATCGCCAGGTTTTGTGGGATGACATTGTTGCGTCCAAGCTTCACGAACATGAAATTTCTTTTGCGATCGCAGGAGCACCAGGGAAGGGGTGGGCTTATTTTGCCGAACAATGCCCCACTGGCAGGCGATGCAGAATAAATAATACAACTTCTCCAACGGTCCTCGTCCTACACGCTCGTTTCCTATTTTGCCTTTTTTCACTGCGCACACCCGTGGTAATGATACAGGCAATATCTGTTCGAAGGCTCCATCAGAGGCAGATCCTATTCTCTATCCCTTTGCGACAGGCACATTTACTAATAACATCCTAGCCGATTTAAACGGGGCCTCCCACAACATCCCATACTAACAACGCCTTATCCTATGACACAACTGCATTTCGATGTTCCCAACGGGCATAATGGTCCCTGCATCTAAATACAGAATTTAAAATTAGCTCAACAATATGTAATCGCAAAAAAAAAAAACAATTATTAGAACTAACAATGTAATGCTACTATAATATAATAAAACCTTGAAAAATAATATATGAAGCAATTGAAGAACTGGCTGTTCTATTGCTCTTCAGGCTAACGTGTCCCCGACATCATCCCTGCACGATTTCATACAAGTTCACCCTAAAGATAGCTTCATGCCTCAGAACATCTCAGAGCTTGCATGCGAGTGTTTTCAATACGTAATTTCTGATACCTAACGTATTAGATTTAGTAGCGGCTAGATACGCATGTCAACCTTCTACTTTAAGCGGGCATCGAAAACGTACTGAAGAATTGTCCTCGGTCATTCATCGTAGCGAGACGCCCATCCGCCCCTTGCGAAGGCTAATTTAGGCCCGATTGAAGCCTCACCATTTTGTGAAA